CAATGCTAAACGCACTTGTTGACGAGACTACGTGCCTACCATTACCTCATCTTCCCCTATGTGTGCGATTTGGAAAAAGGTGCAGAAATTGTATGTACCTCATCTGCTAGGAAAATGATAGGATAGATAATGAGAACCTTCAAAACTAGGGATGTCGAGCCCATGATTCTCTTCAAATCGCTTGTGCTCTCTAGGCTGGAATACTGCTGTACACTAACAGCCCCCTTCAAGGCTGGCAATATTGCAGACCTGGAGTCTGTACAAAAAACTTTCACAGCGATGAGGCCCCTAAACTACTGGGAACGGTTAAGGTCCTTGATCTGTGTTCCCTTGAATGCAGGCGAGAGAGATAGGTGATGATATACACTTGGAAGGTCCTGGAGGGATTGGTACCAAACCTGCACACGAAAATCACTCCATATGAAAGTAAAAGACTCGGCAGGAGATGCAACATTCCCCCGATGAAAAGCAGAGGCGCCACGAGTACACAGTGAACACAAGTGTCCGGGGCCCAAGATTGTTCCATTGCCTCCCAGCATACATAAGGGGGATTACCAACAGACCCCTGGCTGTCTTCAAGAAGGCACTGGACAGGCACCTAAAGTCAGTACCTGACCAACCGGCTGTGGTTCGTATGTCAGCTTGCATGCAGCCAACAGTAACAGCCTGGTTGATCAGACCCTGATTCACCATGAGGCCTGGTCTCAGACCGGGCTGTGGGGGCGTTGACCCCCGAAACCCTCTCCAGGTAAGTACACTCCGGACCCAGCTCCCATTTGGCGGATTGCTGAAGTTGATGGCGCAGAACCTCTAGAAGTTGCCACAGAAATTGGGAACTATCTTGTCCGTATCTCCCGAGGGTTTCACCTCTGTCCCTCATTTCTTGCGTCTAAGCCTACCAAAGAGCAATTGCCCTTAGATTTCTCCAATGGATTGGAGCTGTATAACTTGCCTTTTACTCTCCTAAAATTGGAGTTCACGCTTTCCATTTGCCAGCCGTTGGCAACGGCTGGCAAATGGCAACGGCAACGGCAGTATGCTACATCTCCATTCTACAGCCCTTCCTGTTCTTTTACGTCTTTTTAATCTTATTTGGGAGCAAGGGGTTCTCCCTCAACAATGGAAATCGGCTATTGTACTAGTTTCGCAAACTAGGCGCCTTGGGGCTTGACATCTCTCACTATCGTCCCATTGCCCTGACCAGTGTGGTCTGCAAGGTGATGGAACGATTGGTGAATAAACGTCTGATGTGGTTCTTAGAGACACTCAATGGCCTTTCCCCTCGCCAATATGGCTTTCACAAAGGCCACTCTGTCCTAGCGGTCTTTTTTGATCTAGAGGAGACATATGACACCACTTGTAGGTATAACATTCTTGCCCAAGCCCACTCCTTAGGCCTCCTTCACTGCTTTCTTGTCCCATAGGCATTTTCGGGTCCATATTAGCGCCTAGCTTTCTTCAGACATTGTACAAGCTGAGGGAGTCTGACAAGGTTGTGTCCTTAGAGGACCCCAATGGAAATAAGACACAGTCCCTGACTACTCACTGACTTTATTGGATTATCCTACGTGGCTAACCCCCCAGGGTAGAAATCTCTACAAAATATAATATTACCTGAGAAAGGTAAATTCCTGCTGGCTGTTGTCTATAATGTATTCCCTGGAATGCAGGCGAGAGAGATACATGATTATAAGATAAGATAAGATAAAATAAGATTTCGTTCGGATTTTTAACCCCGGAGGGTTAGCCACCCAGGATAACCCAAGAAAGTCAGTGCGTCATCGAGGACTGTAACTTATTTCCATTGGGGTCCTTAATCTTGTCCCCCAGGATGCGACCCACACCAGTCGACTAACACCCAGGTACCTATTTGCTGCTAGGTGAACAGGACAACAGGTGTAAGGAAACGTGTCGAAATGTTTCCACCCGCCGGGAATCGAACCCGGGCCCTCCGTGTGTGAAGCGGGAGCTTTAGCCACCAGGCCACCGGGTCACCCCGGAAAATCCTAGAGGGACTAGTACCGAACTTGCACACGAAAATCACTCACTACGAAAGCAAAAGACTTGGCAGACGATGCAACATCCCCCCAATGAAAAGCAGGGGTGTCACTAGCACGTTAAGAGACCATACAATAAGTGTCAGGGGCCCGAGACTGTTCAACTGCCTCCCAGTATACATAAGGGGGATTACCAACAGACCCCTGGCAGTCTTCAAGCTGGCACTGGACAAGCACCTAAAGTCGGTTCCTGACCAGCCGGGCTGTGGCTCGTACGTTGGTTTGCGTGCAGCCAGCAGCAACAGCCTGGTTGATCAGGCTCTGATCCACCAGGAGGCCTGATCACAGACCGGGCCGTGGGGGCGTTGACCCCCGGAATTCTCTCCAGGTATGGTAATGCTGTACCACATATTTTGACAAAAAAAAAAAATACATTCAGGGGCACCCAGTCATTCACACTGAACCACTCGAGTGACAGAGTACGCCACAGCAAAATAAAATCTAATATAGCCACACTGAGGATGACATTAAAGCAGAGGACAGCAGTGAACAGGTACAACCCTGGAGTTTACCTGGAGAGCTCCAGGGGTCAATGCCCCCATGGCCCGGTCTGTGACTAGGCCTCACGGTGGATCAGGGCCTGATCAACCAGGCTGTTACTGCTGGCCGTACACAATCCAGCGTACAAACCACAGCCCGGCTGGTCAGGTACAGTGGAACCTCAAATATCGAACTTAATTCGTTCCAGGAGTTCTAAATTCGAAAAGCGAAGCAATATTTCCCATAAGAAATACAATTAATCCATTCCAGAAACCCAAAAATATTCACGAAAAAAAATACATTTTATAGATTAATTATGCTTTTACATATACACAACAAATGTAGTGATGAATGGTTTGAAAAACCGACAAGTTGAAGATTGAGACACTTATGCAGAATATGGGAAACTTTATTCAGGAAACGTTTCGCCACACAGTGGCTTCATCAGTCCAATACAAAGAGGAAGGCGTAAGGAGAGGAGGAGAATGAGGTAATCAGTCCCTCAACCTGGAGTCGATGTGTTCAGTCCATCAATCTTGATGGACTGAACACATCGACTCCAGGTTGAGGGACTGATTACCTCATTCTCCTCCTCTCCTTACGCCTTCCTCTTTGTATTGGACTGATGAAGCCACTGTGTGGCGAAACGTTTCCTGAATAAAGTTTCCCATATGCTGCATAAGTGTCTCAATCTTCAACAAATGTAGTGTTCAATTATGTATTAATAAATTTAAAGAAACATATAAAATAACATTTTTACTTACCTTTATTGAAGATTGGTGATGGCATCTGGAAGATAGGGAGGAGGAGAGAGGGAGTTGGGGTTAGTGTTTGGAAGGAGAATCCCCCTCCATGAGGACTTCAGGTATCAAAGCTCTCTCTGGGGTTACTTCCCTTCTGTCTTTTAATGCCACTAGGCCCAGCTTGAGTCACTGGACCCCTATCTCACAAAATAACTGTCCACAGTCCTCTGTTTCTGGTGCCTCTTTAAGATTTCCCTAAAATGGAACATGGTTCTGTCACTGAACTTGTTGCAAAGATGGCTTGGTTCAGCTTGCTCAGGGTGGTACTTCTCCACAAACATTTGGACATCATTCCACTTCTGTATTATTTCCTTCCTCACATCTATGGTGTTTCTCACTTTCTTTACCACAGGGGTACCACTAGCAAGTTTAATTGCTCCCATTGTAGCTTATTTCACAGTCCCACAAGCACTAACCACAATGAAATAATCGTAAAATGTTTGAATGAGATCTCAGGTTAGTGTTCACTCAAGCATCAACAAAACCAGACTGGCTCACAGCTCCTGCGTGGGGACACGGACAGAGCGGGCTGCCGGACAGGTCCGGTACCCGGCAGTTCGAAAATAGGGGCGAATTCGATAATTGGGACAAAGTTGGTTCGAAAAAAGGGTTCTATTTTTGAAGAGTTCGATAAGCGATATATTAGAAATTTGAGGTTCCACTGTACTGTCTTTAGGTACTTGTCCAGTGCCTGCTTGAAGACAGCCAGGGGTCTATCGGTAATCTTCCTTATGTATGCTGGGAGGCAGTTGAAGTCTTGGGCCCCTAATACTTATTGTGTTGTTTCTTAACGTGCTAGTGGCACCCCTGCTTTTCATTGGGGGGGGGATGTTGCATTGTCTGCAGAGTCTTTTGCTTTTGTAGGGAGTGATTTTTGTGTGCAAGTTTGGTACTAATCCCTCTAGGATTTTTCAAGTGTATATAATCGTGTATCTCTCCTGCCTGCGTTCTAGGGAGTAAAGGTTTGGGAACTTCAAGCGTACCCAGTAATTGAGGTGTTTTATCTCAGTTATGCGTGCCATGAAGGTTCTCTACATTTTCTAGTTCAGTAATTTCACCTGCCTTGGAAGGTGCTGTTAGGGTGCAGCAATATTCCAGCCTAGATAAAACTAGCGATCTGAAGTGTCATCATGGGTTTGGCATCCCTGCTTTTGAAGGTTCTCATTATCCATCCTGTCATTTTTCTAGCAGATGCAATTGATAGTGTTATGGTTCTTGAAGGTGAGAACTTCCAACATGATCACTCCCAGGTCTCATGAAATTGTAATGACATGATTGCAAACAAACCATACCATGGGTGGGGTTTGAACCCGCGGTCAGAGAGTCTCAAAACTCCACTATGTCCACAAATGCATTTGTGGACACAGTGGTGCCTATGCTAACCTTCCTATGGTGTAGAAATATACCTAGTTGGACGAATCTTATTGAAGTTAGCTGACCCAGTGGCTAGTGAGACAGTCTGGAGTTTTGAGACTGACCGTGGGTTCAAACCCTACCCGTGGTATGGTTTTTTTCACTCCCAGGTATTTGACGTTAGTTTCTCGCTCAATTGTGTGGTTGGAATTTGTTTTATACTCCCATGAAATTTTAATTTCCTGACGTTTACCATATTGGAGTAGTTGAAATTTCTCATCATTGAACTTCGTATTGTTTTTTGCAGCCCATTGAAAGATTTGGTTGATGTCCGCCTGGAGCCTTGCAGTGTCTTCAATGGAGGACATTGTCATGCAGATTAGTGTCATCTGCGAAGGAAGACATGCCACTGTGGCTTATATCCCTGTCTGTCCGATATGAGGATGAGGAACAAGATGGGAGTGAGTACTGTGCCTTGCGAAACAGCTTTTCACTGTAGCTGCCTGTTGACTACTGCTATTTGTGTTCTATTTGTCAGGAAATTATAGATCCATCTACCAACTTTTACTGTTATTCCTTTATCACTCATTTTGTGCACTATCACACCATGGTCACACTTGTCGAAGGCTTTTGCAAAGTCTGTGTATTACATTTGCATTCTGTTTCTTCTATAGCATGCAGGACCTTGTCGTAGTGATCCAGTAGTTGGGAGAGACAGGAGCGACCTGCTCTAAACCCATGCTACCCTGGGTTGTGTAACTGATGGGTATCTAGATGGGTGACGATCTTGCTTCTTAGAACCCTTTCAAAGATTTTTATGATATGGGACATTAGCACTATCAGTTTATAGTTCTTTGCTATTGCTTTACTGCCCCCTATGTGGAGTGGGGCTATGTCTGTTGTTTTTAGTAACTGTGGGACGACCCCAGTGTCCATGCAACCTCTCCATAGGATATTATTATTATAATCAAAAAGAAGCGCTAAGCCACAAGGGCTATACAGCACCATAGGATGCTAAAAGCACGTGATAGTCACATTTCTGAAAACACTCCCACATAAGTGATGGTTGCAGAGTAGAAACATACCATGATCATCTTAATGTACTAAATCAACCTGGACAAGGTTAGTTAAGGTTGGTACATGCTGAGGAAATTTGTAAGGGATGAATGCTCTTTGTGAAAACCTTGCTGAGATTCATGGGTTTAAACTGTATTTTTCTAGGTGGCTTTAAATTGCATCCCAAATTATTGATTTCATCAGTTCCCACAATTGAAATTGTCGATAAATTAGACACATCTGCAAATCTTGGGTATCTTTAGATACCCAAGAGTTGCAGATGTGTCTAATTTATCAACATGTCGGTTCTCTGAACCATTCATCTACAAATTGAAATTATGTTGATTTGTATGTGTGAAACTAAGGACCTATATCTTATGCCATTATCCACTTGTACGATACCCATTAGTAGTGATGAAGAGACCAGCTAATGGTTGACTTAAGTTCTCCTTATATTCCTTGTTTGGTTTTAATCTGTGAAGTTGTCTGAGGACAATGTCACCAGTGACTTTGATCTTGCGTAATTTATCATCATCCTGATCTGTTCAAGATTTATCTCCAGGACTTCATTTGTATCCTCTGGCATAATGGCAGGGAGGAAAAAAAAGTGTTAAAAATGGTGCACATTTTTGTCACTGACATTGAGCTGTTCTGAGTTATATTTGCACATCGATAGTATCATAACCAATATGGTTGACCTTCACTTCATCTAAGCTCAACATTATCTGCAATATTAGCAAGGGTTTTAGGTAGTAGGTTGGTAGACAGCAGCCGCCCAGGGAGGTACTACCGTCCTGCCAAGTGAGTGTAAAATGGAAGCCTATAATTGTTTTACATGATGGTGGAATTCCTGGTGTCTTTTTTTCTGTCTCATAAACATGTAAGATTTCAGGTACGTCTTGCTACTTCTACTTGCAGTTAGGTCACACTACACTTGGATGTACAAGCATATATATATACACACCCCTCTGGGTTTTCTTCTATTTTCTTGTTTATTTCATCTTGTTTCCATGGGGAGGCAGAACAGAATTCTTCTTCTGTAAATCATGTGTTGTAAGAGGCAACTAAAATGTTGGGAGCAAGGGGCTAGTAACCCCTTCTGTATACATTACTAAAGTTAAAAATAGAAACTTGTTTTTCTTTTTGGGCCACCCTGCTTCGATGGGATACGGCCGGTTTGTTGAAAGAAGAAAGAGCAGCAAGGGTAAAATTTTCATTGCTGATGCACTTTGGTGTTGGGAAGAGTGAGGCCAGGAGTAAGTTGTTTTATTGGAGAATGTTCTCAGAATCTGTGTGTTTCCTGGATACTAGTGGCATACTTATCCACCATAGAAAGAGACAATATCATGCATGTGAAAAAGTATATAAATCTTTTTATAAATTTTTCTATAGGGTTGTGATGCATGCAATAGCAGTCTTGATCATTGCAGCAGTGGAAGCAAGAATGCATCAAATGCTCACAGTGCTCTAGTATTGCCATCATTAGTGATGGCTCAGAGTAGATGACGTGAGGGCCTGCCAGACGCATCATCCTCGTTGGGCCAAAGCAGTCGTGGAAGTTGAGAACCAACATGAGCGAGACACGAGGACTGTCAATGTAGCTATTCAAACTGACTCATCATCTCAGTCACCTCCCCTGACACTTCCCTCAACACATTCCTTAGTGCTCTAAATGATACTTGACACCAGTCTGCCTCACTGGATTGTAATTATGATAACTGGTACTAATTAGCTTCACTGGTGTGTAATAACATTTGAATTTCATATTAACCGTAAACGGTCCAAGCAGATCTACGTTCACATGTGTAGTGCTACAAAAGTAGATCTAATTTTTTTTTACATATTTTCAAATATAACAAAAAAAATAGATGAAAGTTTTTTTACACATTTTCAAATGTAGAAAAACAAAAAGATCTACTTTTTTTTACATACTTTCAAATGTTGAAAAAACGTATATGTACGTTTGGACCGTTTACGGGTTAATACTAATTAGAAGTAGTGATTATATGACTTGGATAACTAACATTAATGTCCTCTTAAAGTTATCAGTACACTTAAAATTGCACTTTCCATCTGCATGGATAAAAAAAAAAGTTGAACTCATCAGTTACCCAGAGAATGAATATCTGCAAATTTTGCTTAGGAAATGTAAGATGATAAAGGATATCAATAGAGTACATATAATACCTGATTAAACTTGTATTAATAGTTGGGAATGTTTAGTGTCAAGGCTCATTATTAGCACCTCGTAGCTCAGTGGTAGGAGGAATGAATCAAAGGCTTGGGCTTGCACCCAGGCCCCTGGTTCAGTCTTAAACTGGTTGAAGCTCTTGTCTGCCCCTCTTCACATAGTAAATAAGTACCTGGGTGTTAGCTAACTTGTGGGTTTCATCCTGTAGAGTATCCATAAACCTTTGAGCTGGGTTATAGTATGTGCCTGTAAATTCAGTACTACTGTAGTAACTGCAGTGTTAAAAAAGTGAGCTGCAAAGAGTGAGATGAAGAAAGAAGAGATGCTAAAATTACATAGTGATGCCATAATGTAGAAAGAATTCTTAGCGCCATCAGCAGGGAGAGCAAAACACCACATTTACAAATAAAAGAGGTATGCTTAAAAGTAGGGACATGCCAAAGTATCAGTATCAGATAATTTCGATGGCACTCGTATTGGTATCAGCTAATTTTAATGGTATTGGTACCAGTTAGTACAGTACAGTATCAGCTACTTTTGATGGCGTCAGTTTCAGTATTGTCCTAAAATTTAGTATTGGTATGTGCAAAAAATTTTACGTTGTCCCATCCTTCCTTAAAAGTTTTCCTTCACAAATAATGGAACATGATCAAAAAGATGCAGTAAGTATTGTTAAGAAAATTCCCTGATTTAGGTATTAAAGGATTCTTGTTATTAGTTATTTTATTTTATTATCATCACACCGGCCGATTCCCACCAAGGCAGGGTGGCCCGAAAAAGAAAAACTTTCACCATCATTCACTCCATCACTGTCTTGCCAGAAGGGTGCTTTACACTACAGTTTTTAAACTGCAACATTAACACCCCTCCTTCAGAGTGCAGGCACTGTACTTCCCATCTCCAGGACTCAAGTCCGGCCTGCCGGTTTCCCTGAATCCCTTCATAAATGTTACTTTGCTCACACTCCAACAGCACGTCAAGTATTAAAAACCATTCGTCTCCATTCACTCCTATCAAACACGCTCACGCATGCCTGCTGGAAGTCCAAGCCCCTCGCACACAAAACCTCCTTTACCCCCTCCCTCCAACCCTTCCTAGGCCGACCCCTACCCCGCCTTCCTTCCACTACAGACTGATACACTCTTGAAGTCATTCTGTTTCGCTCCATTCTCTCTACATGTCCGAACCACCTCAACAACCCTTCCTCAGCCCTCTGGACAACAGTTTTGGTAATCCCGCACCTCCTCCTAACTTCCAAACTACGAATTCTCTGCATTATATTCACACCACACATTGCTCTCAGACATGACATCTCCACTGCCTCCAGCCTTCTCCTCGCTGCAACATTCATCACCCACGCTTCACACCCATATAAGAGCGTTGGTAAAACTATACTCTCATACATTCCCCTCTTTGCCTCCAAGGACAAAGTTCTTTGTCTCCACAGACTCCTAAGTGCACCACTCACTCTTTTTCCCTCATCAATTCTATGATTCACCTCATCTTTCATAGACCCATCCGCTGACACGTCCACTCCCAAATATCTGAATACGTTCACCTCCTCCATACTCTCTCCCTCCAATCTGATATTCAATCTTTCATCACCTAATCTTTTTGTTATCCTCATAACCTTACTCTTTCCTGTATTCACCTTTAATTTTCTTCTTTTGCACACCCTACCAAATTCATCCACCATCCTTTAATGAACCATATTCATTATGAATTACATTATGGTACTAATTTTCAGGTTGAACTAGATGAAGTTGTTGTGCTGAGCACCTCTCCAGAGGTGGCCATCAAGCTCATTTTTTGGCTGCCTCCACCCATCTGCTATCCTTCATCCCTGTACCACCAAGGTGTAGCCTTGCCGGGCCCACTCTCAATACAGAGTTAGTGCAAGTTCATCAGTCAATGAACCCAGGATGTAGTGTGGACAGCAAGTAAGCACAGTAAAGCTTCATTATAACTGACTAATGGAGGAGAGGGGGTGTGTAATAAAAATCCATTTTATCAAAATGCCCACTCCAGTGAACGTGGTCCATTGGATGGAAAGCATACTAGATAATCTGTAACAAAAAATCATTTTCAAGATATTGCCACAGAAACAGCACCTTTTATTTACAAATTTACTCCAGTTTAAGAGCTCAAACGTTTACCATTGGCATATTCTGGTCTGATGAAGATTTGTATTGTTATTTGGCTAAGTCATAGTTTATTGATTCCTTACACTAATTGGAATATTGGTTTCCATGCAGTAAGTGGAAATAGTGGTGGTAATCTTGCTACCACTTGTGATAGACTAAACTCTCAACAATATTTTTCTTTCATTAAAAATCAGTCAGTTGGCTTCTATAATATAAGAGTGAGTTTAACCTCCCTCTCATGAAAAGGAGTTTCTGTGGCTAGTATAAAAAAAAAACATAAATGACCTAGCAAGTTTGGGAGTTTTCTCTAATAATTTTATAGTGTTTGATTGGGCTGAGCTTGAGGGTGGGGCCTCTTGAGTGGGTTGATTTAGTTCCTGGGCATTGTGAGGGTGTTTATCTACAGGAAGTTGGCTTGTGCATAATGTTCTAAAACCTATGGAACTTTTGAAATTGTTGATGTACAGGCCCTGGACCTCTTGGGAGGGTTGTTATAGCTGCTACATATGTTGTAGAAGTTGAGCTATACTTGCCATGCCTATAGGAAGCTTTGAGTCAAAACTGTTAGGCATGTTGCTTGTGTTAACATACAGGGTGACCAGGGTTATGTGATACAAAGGATACTATCTGTGAATCATGCAGGGACAGAAACGAGTCTAGTTGCGGATTGTGGCAGCAGTTGAAAAAAACTATGCTAAGTGAGGCTAAGTTTTTGAGAACAAATTTTATTTGCAATCACAGTTGTATGAAAAAACTCAAAGCAGCAGTTAGTGAACTCAGTTCCCGAAAAAGGGGACATAGTCAAACCCCAAATGAGGCAAGGCACATTTGCAAGTCTCCTAATCTGTTGCTGTTCCATACCAGTAAATGGAAACCTAGATATACTATCATATATTGTCACAGTAGTAATATGCAACAGAAATTTATTCATGCATGTGCACTGTGATCTACATACAGTACAGTTAGAAAAAGACAGAGGGAGAAAAGGAAAAACTTGGATATGTATGTTAACACATACAGGAAAATAGTTGATATCCCTCTGCTCATGGAACCACTGCCGCACATCCCTGGCAGTATAAAGTATTATTCATGAAGATTTTTTTCAGGGAATGGGAAAGCATAGGCCCAAACAGAGGGAAACATGACCTTCAGTATTTCAAGATACTGGTCCATATTGAACCATTGTTCAATCTGAGCCAACTCTCCCACACCATGAAGGTAAATCCATCCCCATATATTGCAGGCTATGTGACCACTCTTTGCTTCTTCATAGATATTGCTACATGTTATTACATTGAAGTGCAATTGCATGAGGGCATTTGTGAAATGTGCCTGATGAATGGCAGTTATACAAAAACACTTATCTGCTTGTCTAAAATGTATGGGCAGGTATTGTTAGTGTTGCCTCCATAAAGTTCATTAGAAACAGAAGTAAAAGCTTTGGTAGAGGCCTGCCCTACCATTGCATTCAAGATGATATCATTTTAATATGAACATATTTTAATAAATTGAAGATTTTGCACCCTTATCCATCTTGTGGATGGTAGTGCAAGAGCATATGGATATACAAAAGGCCTAGTTCCTAGGCCTCAAAAGGGTTTACAGGAGTACATCTGGATTTATATCTACAGTTCACTTAGCTGTTGCAAGCAAATTTAGGAAATTTGTTTATTTATTTATTTAGTAATTTAAGCATACAGAGGTACAAAAAATACAGGTAAGAGCAGCATGCCAAAGCCACTTATATGCATAGCATTACGGGCTGGCTTAAAATTAACTTAAGATTAATATCTTATTAATGAAAATAAGATCTCTTGACATATCACATATGTTATTATGCTGTCTATATTCCTCAGTAAATGGACAGTTAAGTAACCAAGCCTGGCTACTGCATCAGTCTGTTCACATTGCAAGTTGCTCCATAAACATATTTGTCTACATTCATGTTATAGATCTACTCAGGCTTCTACAACATTCAGTTTCATTATTTACTCCAAATATTCCTAATGCTAGACACAGATACACCAGAGTACTTTTTTCTGGCTATCATATCAACTTTATCATGAAGTAATCAAGTGTGTGTTGGAATCCATAACAATTGTATATTAATTCCTGTTTCCCAGATATTTTATCTGGGTTCTCCAATGAACATGTTGGTATTCATTAGGAGAGTCGAGAGCCTTCAGTGATGACGTAGAATCAGTAGTAATCATAGTCAAGCTCAGTGTCATTAGGATGGCAAACAATTCAATTTGCAGTGTAGATGCTCGGTTAATTCTTAGGCGTAACTCGACAAATTCTTATCATTCTTAACTAGGGAAATTGCATAAGATCAGATGCTGCATTCCCAGTAGACTCCTGCTTAGATCCATTAGCGTATACAACCTGTGATGATTAAAATTTTGTGAATAAATTGTAATTTTCATTGTAGGCCCACGGAGGTAATTGCTGAGTAAAGAATATCAGTGTGTGGTCAAAGTTCCTTAATATAAGGAATTGAACTTGTCCTTCACCAGGCAGTGCTGCATGACCTGCAGTCCCTAGTTTCAGCCTTAGCTAAACCTTTTTGTACTCTTGAACCAAGGAATTGGAGCTCCACCCTTTTCTTTGAATTGAATGTGGTTATTGCCTCCCATTCCTATAAAGTATTATATGACCCTCATGGGTTTAGCTCACACCCCCTTTCCTCCTGATAATGTAATTCCTATGGGTTTCCTCTTTCCCAATCAATCCCTCACTAATAACTTTTGCACATCTTTATTTTACAGATAGAGTTGTGGCAAGGCTTGAAACTGGCATCATGTGTGTGTATGAAAGGCAGTACCTCAGGGAATGGAACAAGCCCATAAACACAGGACTTCTATGGGTTTCTTAATGAGACTAATCAGCTTGTAGGGGGTGCAAGAGGCACACACGTGACTTGGGGAAGACCTATTGTTTGTAAGCAAACAGTAATCCTCATAGCTAGTAAGACTACCACATATTACTTGGTAACCAAAGCCCACAGTGGGCTCTGGTGGCCTGGTGGTTAACGCTCTCGCTTCACACGGTGAGGGCCTGGGTTCGATTCCCAGCCAGAGTAGAAACATTGGACGTGTTTCTTTCCACCTGTTGTCTATGTTCCCCATCAGTAAAATGGGTACCTGGGTGTTAGTCGACTGGTGTGGGTCGCATCCTGGGACACTGACCTAAGGAGGCCTGGTCACAGACCGGGCCGCGGGGGCATTGACCCCCGGAACTCTCTCCAGATAAACAGTGGCTTGTATTCCTGCCTTCTCGGCTATCTTAAGTCACTCTATATACCCTCCTGATCTCTCCCCAACACACATTTCTCATCCTCCATCTTACCCTCTATGCTCTCACCACATATTTTCCTCTACTCCTTCCAAATTTCTTGCCTGTCCTTTCATGTATTCTCTCCCATCTCTGTTTCCTCACCTTCCCTGCTTTAATCCCTTTCTCTTACCTCTCCTTCCCCACACTTTTTTTAGGGGGGGGGGGTCCCTGTATTTCCTCTTTCCCACATCTTAAACGACTAAATCAGCCGTTTGTACAAGTTAAAATAAAAATTAAAAAAAAAAAAATTTTTTTATTTTTCCTTTTGTATGTATATTAAGTCTCATAGAATTGTTGAAAAAAAAAAATTCATTCCCATTTTCTGTTTTGATAACCTAAGAAAATAGTCTAGTATGCAGTTCCTATAGCTACAGGACTGACTGGGATCCAAGGTCAATTACTTGAATCAAAAATCTCTAGTCAACATCAAGGAGCCTCTCATGAGGGGAAAAAAAAATTTTTTTTTAGAATTATCAGGGGGGAGAAGCACTAAGCCCATAGGAGAGAGGTTCAATTTTTTGGATCAAGGCACCACTTTGATGCAGACATTACTAAAGGTGATGCCTGCACAAGGGCACTTGAATGGTTTGAAAAACCGACAAGTTGAAGATTGAGATACGTATGGGAATCTTTATTCAGGAAACGTTTTGCCACACAGTGGCTTCATCAGTCCAATACAAAGGCGTAAGGAGAGGATGAGTTAATCAGTCCATCAATCTTGTAGAATATGTTGAATAAGTATCTCAATCTTCAAAGTAATTAATGGCAAGCAGGAAGAGGGTAGTGCTACACCCTCAATCTGGAGAAAAATTATTATTGATGCAGACAAAGTAGTGCCTCTCTGGAAAAGTGGCAGCCAAAGGAATGAGTTTGGGTTAAGATGCTAAACCCACAAGGGACATTAAATTGAGAAGGATTATCAGCAAAAGCACTAAGGATGTGTATCTGAGGGGGTTCAAAAATTAAATTAATGAGAGAAAACAAATTCTTACTCCCAAGTTCCAAACTGTATGGTGAACCAGGCATTAAAAAAAATCAAGAGCAAAGGGTCTGTAATATAATATACTCTACTGCCTCATGAGAGACAGCAATAAAAGTGTAGGTAAGGAAGAAAACATAAAGGAGAGATATAAAGAGCAGACTATGTGCCACTTGTCTAAAAATTATTATAATCAATTTAAGTACTAAATCCCTTGGGTCATGCTTGTCTAAAAACAAGACACTGCCCTCCTAGGCAGTTTCTGGGGTTACAAAAGTTTAATTGCTGCCATAGAGGGCACAAATAAGAATTGGGCAGATAACCAATTCTTTACAGATTGAATCCATCAACAGGATCTTAGATCTAGTGAACATAAACATGAGGGGAAGGAGCCCCTGTCTGCCAACAAGGACAGAGAAGAATATTCATCTGATAATTCCACCTCTAAATCAAGAGGATGGGATTGTCTCCACCAGTGACTAATAAAAATTGACCTACTTGAACACTTAGCTTCCAATAAGAAAGTCCTGATCCACTTACAGAACTACTCATAAATATGTTATTTCTAACAAGAAAGCATGATGTCCTCCTTAAATCCCTGGACAAGGCTAGGCATCCAACAAGTCAACAGCAGAGGCTGCAAAACTTTGTGGCACAGGTGTGCTCACAACTTTCAGGGCTTACCTTTTCCCCTTCTCTTAGTCTTTTATGACTTGGCCAAAATTGAGACTGGAAAGCAATCTGGTTAGATCTAAGAGGAAAGGTCCAATATTTTTGATCAAGAGTTCCCAACCAGCATCTAACTAGAAAGGAAGATAGTATCAGCAGGAGCATTAAAGTTAATACAGTGCATGGAAGGTGAACATGTTCAATCCAAACAGTATGAATCACCATTTAACTGATGGGAGTTTTGTGCTAGTTGTAGTGCTACTTGTGATAGTAATAACAGCAGTAATATTGACATTTATTGAGCACTCAGACCCCCATAGGTGACTGCTCAAAGTTATTAACATTAATAAAAGCAACATGAACAATCACCATGCCAAGTTAAAATAGAAAACAGCAGCAATTAATGTTAAATGAATCTCCTACAAGTACCCTGGTAATTATAAAGTTCCCTACAAGTATCTTGGTAATTATGAAGGTCTCTACAAGCACCTTTGTTATTTATAAAAATCATAAGGCAGAAAGACTAAAATATGGTCCACAGTCAGGGACTTTTATGGTGACACAAAAATCTTATTTTTTTTTTTTTTCCACTCATGAGTGATAAATTCTTAAGGGTCATACAGCACCTTGGATGGGGGGCAATCAAATTTAATCCAAGGGCACAAATGCCTATACCATACCCATTATTACATTCATATGAGTGCAAAACCCATATGGATACTATGGTGACAGGACAACTCTGTCCCGGTCATTGGCATCCTTGGACAGTTGTGTCAGTCCTTCTTGCGACCAGGACATTTACGTTCCAATACATACGTATTTTTTTTATTTTTAGGTTAGGGTAGCATCCATTTTATTGATTAAAAGTCCAAACTTAAGTATGCATGTTGTGGAAACCCCTCGTAAGAAATTTAATTTCTCCTCATTTGTCTACAATTACCCTAATTGATTAGACAGTTGCTTTTTGAACCAAGATAAGAGGCTTAGCATATATAACATGAGGATTTGTTACCCAGTAATAGTTACATATAGTGGGATGCCAATGACTGGGACACAATCATCCAAGATGCAAATAGTAATAAAGTAGGTAGAATTACCGACAATATGTAAAGTAAAAGGACACAAGTGCAACTAATGTGACATTTATTGTGGCAACGTTTCGCTCTCCAGGAGCTTTATCAAGCCATTACAAACAATACATGGACACAGAGGGTATATAAAGGCTCTGAGTGAGGTGCAATACTAGTGAGGTACCATTTCGATGTTCACTAGTGGTAGTAGTAGTAACAAAAATAATACAATATGGAAGAGCAAATAATTCGTACATGAGTAAAAGGATATAAAAGCTATTACTTGGGTAACATAAAAATAGGTTGGACAAATATAGAGTGGAAAGAGGCAGCTTGTTTCAGTGTTCACTCTCTGTAATGTGCTCGTGTAGTATATCAGGAGAGACTATGTGATGGCAGGGTTTACTGTTTTCAGGAGGATTCTTGCTAAGACTTCGGAGATGGTGAAGCTGCCGTTGTTTTGTTTAATTGTATTCGAAACAGCGATCAGTGCTGATTCAAGGCACTTGCGTGTGCGGAAATTAGTTTCTTTGATCACTAATTGGGCGTCTCTGAATTTCATGAGATGATTGGTGGAATTTCGGTGTTGTACACAGGTGTTGTGTACAATTCTTCCCAACAGCCAGGTTGCACTGAACGTCTCAAAAGTACTTTCACAAGCTAACACCAGAGTCGCCATCGCTTCTACCACTTCAATAAAGGATCTAACCAGGACAAAACCCAAGCACCACGAACCAGTCAATGCAGGAGTTTACACTATACCCTGTGGAGGCTGTGACAAGATCTACGTGGGTGAAACAGCAAGAAACCTCGACACCCGCCTCAATGAACACATTTACGCATGTAGGAACGACAACGACGCCTGTGTACAACACCGAAATTCCACCAATCATCTCATGAAATTCAGAGACGCCCAATTAGTGATCAAAGAAACTAATTTCCGCACACGCAAGTGCCTTGAATCAGCACTGATCGCTGTTTCGAATACAATTAAACAAAACAACGGCAGCTTCACCATCTCCGAAGTCTTAGCAAGAATCCTCCTGAAAACAGTAAACCCTGCCATCACATAGTCTCTCCTGATATACTACACGAGCACATTACAGAGAGTGAACACTGAAACAAGCTGCCTCTTTCCACTCTATATTTGTCCAACCTATTTTTATGTTACCCAAGTAATAGCTTTTATATCCTTTTACTCATGTACGAATTATTTGCTCTTCCATATTGTATTATTTTTGTTACTACTACTACTACCACTAGTGAACATCGAAATGGTACCTCACTAGTATTGCACCTCACTCAGAGCCTTTATATACCCTCTGTGTCCATGTATTGTTTGTAATGGCTTGATAAAGCTCCTGGAGAGCGAAACGTTGCCACAATAAATGTCACATTAGTTGCACTTGTGTCCTTTTACTTTACAAGATGCAAATACCCTAGTACTGAATACTATACCACCTGGGAAAAAGAGGACAGGTTCCATGACAGCCTGGGTGATCTGGCAATATTTCTAGTATGTGCTGGTAGCAGGCTGAATAGTCTTGCATGACAGATGTTGACACTGTTATCTTATTGTGCCCATGGCATCCCTGCTCTTCACTGGATCTATTGTAAACTTCCTCCTATATGTCTCACTCCACTTCATTTTTTATGGTTGTAGATCCATATCTCTCATGTTGTTATGGTGGTACATAGGTTTGGGATTAAGCCCTCAGGTATCTTCCACATAATGTGACTCTCTCTGCTTTCTTCCTAACTCAGCAGTCACCTTGCTGGCCCCTCAGTACATGTCAACACAATCCTGCAATAAAAGTTAGCATTTATTCATAAAATACTTTAAAAGCTCATTCATTCAAAACCACTCTTGCCAGAAGTTATCTGAAATCACTATTCAAATGACCTTACAAGTTCAAAATTAAGAGGCAGTTGAAATTCAAATAAGTTCAAAACTGAATATAACAGTTTAGAACTTAAAGGCAAGTTATTAGATAGTAGTAGAGGTGGTTGCAAGTCAAATATGTTTGAAAATGATGCACTGTTTAACAAATGGGCTCCAAGTCAAAATAATATGGACTCAGAATCAGAGGTATGGTTATTTGGGTTTGAACAAGAGGCACAGTTTAAGAGCTAACTGGGGTTCAAACAGGATTAAAATCGAAGACAAAAGGATTCAGAAATTTGGCTCAATAGGATTGGCATTGAAAAAGAGAGTGGGATTCTTCTCACCTCATCTGTATTCTGGATATTAAACATGGTACCTAAGAAGAATACTGTATTAGCAATGCTTGAGGTGTCAGGTAATCTTTATTTCTACAAGTACAAGATATACAAGCTAAGCTGACATCAATAACATACTACATGTACTATATAGAAAGCCCCTTGTTGTTCAGAGGATTTCGGCCAAATTACGTTAATTTTGTCCCAGGATATGACCCGTACCTATCTTACTGATAGGTGAACAGGGACAGCAGGTGTCTTAAAGAGACCTGTCCTAATGTTTCCACCCACACCAGGGATCAAACTATGGACCTCAGTGTGTGAGCTGAATGTGCTGCCAATCAAGCTATGGGGCACACATGAACCCCCAAGGGTAGTGAAAGTGGAAATTTTAATCCTTAAACTGTCCAAACGTAGATCTACGTTTGCTCGCGTAGCGCTCCGAGAGTAGATCTTGTTTTTTTTACATGCTTTCAAATGGAGAAAATCAAGGTCTGATCTCTACACGCATAAACATAGATCTATGTTTGGACAGTTGAAGGGTTAAATATGCATATGTGATGCATAATGCTTTCACATTTTGTCTGAGAATTCACATATACAATTAGAGAGAACAAAAAGAAATGTTAATGAGTGTGCAAAATAAGGAGAAAACAAGAAAAGAGGTCCCCACTTAGTGCACAGGAAATGTGGTACAAAGCCTTAATGTACTGCAAAATAGTGTTTGAAAAGGAAGGAGAGCATTCACAACAAAAAATGTTGTGTTTATTATTCTGAGCTGATCACTGGACATCAAGTGAGGTAGGCTTCTTTCAGTAAGCGAGGAGGGCAGGAGGCTGAGGTTATTGGGCAGGCTGATTTACCCTGTTTCATCTTACCTACAGCCTTGAAAACTTTAAAAAAAGCACAATCAGCTTCATAACATAAAGTCTAGTAGCAAGAGTTAAGCAGCTGATCATATTGCCATGCAAAGTTTCCCTGTGAACTCTGTGCAAATTATTTCCAAGAACGATTACAATCTCCACCTAGTGTTTAATGCTTTTAAGATAGTACAACCTTGAATATTAGCCAAAGGTTTAGCATAATTTACACACTGCATATGCACTAGTGATTTTACATACACTTTTATTTATTAATTTGAACATGATACAGT